ATTCAGCAGTATCGTGTATTTACTTAAATTGTTTTAACTACCATATTAACATGAACTGAAAATAGTTATATATATATATATATATATATAAACTGACTGCAGGTCACATTAGTCATGAATTAAGGAGTTGGTCAATATTGCATATATGACTCAGCACATGATATTTCACCCGCCAGAATAATATGTGACAGTTGAATGCAAATGGTAGATATATTTTACAGCCGATGTTTTCAAGTCGTGAAATATTTATTTAAAATAACTTGAAGGTGAACACGAATTACACTTGTTCAGAATTTTACGACAAATTCCTGGCCAATCAGAATTTTACGACAAACTCCTGGCCAATCAGAATTTTATGACAAACGCCTGGCCAATCAGAATTTTACGGCAAACTCCTGGCCAATCAGAATTTGCTCGAAAACGTTCACTCGTCAGAGCGATATCCGTAGCAGTAACGATGCATGTGAAAAAACAATTTTCGCGTGATAATATTTATTATTTGGATGATTTACTGTTTACGATTTTAACGAAAAAAATGGGACCCAAGTTTTAAGATTTGAAAACCAGAATATGTCTCACAGCTTCAAAATGTGGAGCGCGTTTCTATGGCCTGCCAACACAAATAAAAATGAAGACAAATTAATTGTAAAATTCTTTAATAATAACCTTTAAATGTATCATAAAGTACTCAGGAAAATTAAAGCTTGGGGGAAAAAATATTTATTGAGATAATTCAGGATACAATGCAAGAACAATTATTATTTAATTACAGTTATCATGCATTAGGTTATCAATTGATTAAATTAATAAACTACTAGTTTCTGGCATTAAGAATTATGTAATTTCAATTAGAATAATTGTCACACTCTTCATAGACGGAAATATAGAACACTCAATGTACCAAAAATTCTTGGGTTCCTTTTAATGATCTTGTTTACGTAATGGAATTTTAACCTAGATGTCCTTACGGAACAGTAACATAACACATTTATATATTAACACCTGAAGTCTTGTAGAAAAGCTGTAAGTATTTTCATATTAAAGAACACAGAAAGAAATTAAGCAATAAACTTAGTAATTTCATAGAATTATTGCCGTGTTTGGTGATTTAGGGCATTGTCTTGATTTCATAAACAATCCATTTCTTGTTGTTGTTTGTTTGTTTTTTCTGTAGCGTTGTTATTCTTTATTTCGACTTCCATGTACTGCTGCACATTTGTCTTGAATTTCGTCTGGAAAGACAGGAGAGAGAAAACGTTACAACTACAAGAAAAAACACAGTCTTACAAATATAGGAAAATCAGTCCATACTCTGGTGGAAAATTTTAAAATTACAATAAAAACAGTTTGTACTTCGATAGAAAACGTTAAAACAAGAAAATAATCTATATTCAGCATTTACATATCAATGTTAACAAATTGCACCTAAGTTAATCTTTGTAGTATTACTATTAGTATTACACTATCTTATGATTTATACAGTAATTCTGTAATATTGTCGATTAAAATGTTGATCTCTAACAGAAAGACTTTAAATTGAAAAGTTTCTAAAAATCAGTTCCTCAAATACTTTAAAAGTTCTTAATGAAAACCCGTTAAGCATTTCCTATATTCATCGAAGTAGGCATTAGTAAAGAATTATCACTATATTTAATCGGAAGGCCTAAACGTTACCCATATCAGCTTCTATCTAGCTGAAAAAAATTCCTAACCCTAATCTTACATTCTGCCTTTTATTTTTCTTGCTTAGGTGTTCCGAACAGGCCTAATTAAGACCAGGTGACAACGTCTGTATTAATTCATATTATTTTCCAGATCATTTACATTTTTTTTTAAACGAAAATCATTTCAATAAGCCAGACAAACCTGATAACTACTAAAGAAAATGCTTTAAGTTTAACCATAGAAACAGTCATGAGTTTACCGACATTTAAAAACAAAGTTCTGAGCTATTTATGCACCAAATTTCTTGTGAGCTTATGATAAAAAAAAAACCCAACAATATTGCATTTATTCTCGCTAATTAGTGCTGTGGTACATGTTCCCTAAAACCAGTAACTTGGAGGAAAAAGACGTTGGTATCTCCTATATTTTAGAGTTAATATTTTGTTTAACTAAAGTAACGAGTCTTTTGTTTGAAAAATACGGCTTTTACCAGGTGATTAAAACTGGTGTACATACATACATAACTTGTCCAACTTTAAAGCCTGGAGTATAATAATATTGTTATAACGTTTTTCTTTTGTTTTTGAAAATTTAATAAATATTTACTGCGATCTCTTAAAGCCTTTTGTCTTTCTTTTTTACTATATTATTCATATGTTACGAGGTTTTATTTTTTTAATTTTATTAATTAACAAAGTTTCATTTTGAAAACCTTTTTTTTTTCTCTCTCTCTTTTACATCATATTTAGTTTCCAGTACTGAAAATCGGTACACAAACTTTGGAGTCAAATATTTTAAAGATCCTGTTAAAATATACACCTACTTAGTTAAGTAATGCAGGTGCGTTCTACTACCCACGTGATATATTCTTTACTTGTTTCTATTTATATGAAAAGGATAAAATACTTACTGTCTTTTAGTCCAAGACAAAGTCCCCACTCGGACAGAGTTATAGACTGATCATCGTCAGCATCGCAAGCGTCTAAAAAGGGAGAGATACAATGTTCCATGGAAAGCAGTGGAGCTCGGATTGGGAAAAGCTCCTGACGTGAAATAGTTCTGGAATCACGGATTACGTAAAATATTGAAAAGTGGGTCAGAAGATCATCAGAGCACAAAAACACACAAAACAGTACAATATTACATTAATGTAACATAATGTTACTATACTAAAACAAACGATAAAACATCAAGTTAGTAGGACAAAATGTGCTCATTTGAAAAAATAAATTATTGTTGTTAGGAAAAAAAAACAACACTTGTACACTTAAACAGGAAGATATCATGTAACAGAACCATTATGCACGAAAAAATAACAGTAAAATATAGAAGTGGAACACGATATGCACTTAAAAAGTAAAATATGTGCACACAAAACTGTAAAACATAATGTTAGTGGAACCTTTAACGTGTCAAAAACGACAAAGTATGCGAGTGAAATATAAGCTGTACAAATAAAGCAATAAAATATAATGTTAGCGTAAAACACAGAATGGAAAGCATAATTTGAACGGAACACTGTGTCTCCACTAAATGGCCAAATTTAAAATTTGCCGAAACAGAGCACATAAAAAGGGGAAGAATTATCGGAAGAAACTATACACATGAACATCAATGTTTTTATTTAAATGATTCAATTCCACTTCTCAAGCCTAAAGACAAGTATTAATTGAAATGTTTAAATCTATCATTAAAGAATCGTAAGAAAACGTTAGTTACTGCAAGACTTTTCGTAAGACAATAACAGTATTATCATTAGTAAGCAAAATTTCGAATAACCCTTGTTTAAACCGATTAGTGCCCTCCAGTGGAGTTCTGCGGACTTACAACTCTAAAAACCGGGTTTCGATACCAGTTTTGGACAGAACACAGATAGCCCATTGTGTAGCTTAGAGCGTAACTACAAACAAACAAAACCGTATTAGATTTAACTTTTTAAAAAGTACCTCATTAACTATTGTTTTAACTCAGTTAATAGAACGCTCGCTTGGTGTGCGAAAGGTGCGAGGTTCGATACCATTCGTGAGAGACATTAAAATTGGGTTACTGCAAAGTTAATACTGCAACTACAATTCTGTTGAAAGATATACATGTTTTAATGTCACAACTCTGACTAAATCAGTATTACTAGAGCAACTATTATTGAATAAGTTATAAAAGCGCAACTCTGACCGAATAAGCTTTAAAAACACACAATTCTGACAAGATAAGTTTTAACAGCACAAATGTGATTGAACAGCACATTTCTGACTAGTCAAGTTGTTGTAGCACATCTGTGATTGAACAATACATTTCTGACAAGTCAAGTTGTTTTAGTAGTACAACTGTGATTGAACAATACATCTCTGACAAGTCAAGTTGTTTTAGTAGCACAACTGTGATTGAACAATACATCTCTGACTAGTCAAGTTGTTGTAGCACAACTGTGATTGAACAGCACATCTCTGACTAGTCAAGTTGTTTTAGTAGCACAACTCTGATTGAACAGCACATCTCTGACTAGACAAGTTGTAGTGGCACAGCTCTGTCCTGTCTTATTTATCTATCATGTTACATTATGGGTTATTTCAGAATTTTATGCGTTTTTTTTCAGTTCTTTTTAAGTCAGCAGCCAGTTTTATATTACCCTTTCTGCATTCACTGACAATTCGTTAAATAACACTTGAAATCGTCGAGTTATTTTAAAAGACGTTTTTGTTCGTTGTGATTTTGTTTAATAAACAAAATTATATATTATTCTACTATCCGTATTGAAAGAAACAATATAAAAGAAACTACTTATTTTTTTATAGTCTCGATGAATTCTAATTCAGAATATTACGCGAAACACATTCTTAAGAATAATTCACTTGATATACCAAAAATTTCTTTTTTGTGTGATAATATTCATTCGTAATTAATTAATATTTTGTGTAATTTGTACTAATACATTACCTATCTTCTGGATGTGAGTCTAGGTCGCAAAACTTCCAAATAACAGAGTTCACCCACTTGAGACTGAGATCTTCCTCCGCCCTCCTCTCTAACTCTGTGTAATATTGGTTCAACTCCTCTCTATGGGCCAGGTCTTGCATCACAGCAAACAGCCATTCGCGCATGCGTCGAGGAAAATCAGCCATGTCATCTTCGGAACATTTAGGGATTTCTGATTCAATAAAATGATGGAAAAAGTTCAAATAAGCGGTGACTATTAATGATACGTTCAAAACGTGAAACATCACTTAAACATAACTTGTATTTCGTAAGCTAATAATACCAACTTTTTTTTTCACTTTGAAACCTAACAGTTCTTAAGTCTCATTTTGCTTAACTTTGATGCATGGAAATGTTAGTGATTACAAGAATGTACATTAAAACTGGCTCCATGTTTGAAGAGGCAACTGGCATTCAGTAAGGAACGACTGAAACCAGAACATTTTAAATGATAGGAACAAACTATGTCATCTTTAAATGAAAGTTTGGGGGGGGGGGGTTCAAAGGTAAAACTTGCACTTTTCTACACAGTGTAAAAAAAAACTAAGATACCAAAACCTCA